AAAAACCCCAAACCCCTCAAGGGGAAACCCCCCACCCCACCCACTTCCAGGGAGGAAAAAAAGAAAACAAACCACCAAACCACCTCCAGGGGGAACCCCCACCACCACCTCCAGGGGAATCAAGACTGTGTTCAGACATTTGTCTACTGAACGGAATAATGGCTAATAATAGGCACTATTAGCCAAACCACTTTTCTCTAGCTGGAGAGGCTTCCAAAGTTGATGGAGTCTGTCAGGATCTCTGAAAAGCAGACCACTCTATTATGGAAGTATTTAGCTCTAGACAAAGTTTGAACATTTTATCTGTTATTCTTGTACAGAGATTATCGAATTGTGTCACTTATCTAAAGATGTTAAGAAAAAAGAGTCCCAGGGTTAACATTATAATAGAAAGCAGTACAAAAGCTACAAGACAAGTATCTGAATTTAACGTTAAAGCTGTAAGACCCCCAAAAATCTCACTGTGTAAAGAGCAAATAATCTGAGAACCTGTCAGCAAGTACCTAATAGAAACGACATTCCCAATGTCAATCTGTGAAGGTCTCCCTAGGATTTTAAGAACCAAATGTATTACCACAAAACCTTATTTAATACTTATTTGCTAACTCAGCAATAGCTTAGTAGAACATGTCTACTGCTTCTAAATGCCATAATTCTGTAATTGATGTAAACAATGATGGGAATTAGCAGAAGCTATCTCTTCATCCTCTCTTCTCTACCATCAGCTCCAGAAAGATAACTTAAATACTGCGTAAAAGGGTAAATAGATAACTCGCACAAGTACCTCTATGCAATATTTGTGTATAGATCTGTGCCTCCTTTGGTTGAAAATTTGTGTAACAGTAAAAAAAGAACTCAGTAACAGCTGCTAGTGTTCTTTGGGCCTGATAGTCTTTACTTTTCCCTCATTTTCATAAAGCTGTTTTTAATACAAATGCTTTGTTTTGAGTGAAAAAAACCCAGCAAAAAACTCAAAATTGAAACTAACTGCAGAGCTGTTGCAATCAAGACTTACTTGATCATCAAGACAAAAAGATGTTGAAAATTATGATTTTTTCCCAGAGTCCTACTTTTTGATCACCCTGCAAACCTGTTTTGTATTAGTGGGAGTTCCTCAGTTGAAGTTTTGCTCATGTAGCTAGTATTTTGAGTGCTGACAGCAGTTTATAGGACTAGAAGGAGGAAAATACTTTTTTCATTGCTGTCTGTTAGTAGCTCCTTCTCCTTATTCATTTCCAACCTTTATTACTTTTACCCTTACTTATGATACCTGGAATAAGGCCAGTGTTACTGATAAAACATCCAGGATTAAGTTTAGCCCTTCTGCTCAGTCTTGCAGAAATCTCACCAAAGTTATAGAAACTCTCCATCTTATGGCTACTAGCCTTAATGAAATGACTAGAATCTAATACATTAATTATTTCGATAGGAATTATTCTCTAAACAGAACTTTCAATTTCAGCTAGTATTGTGATTCAAACTATGAGTCTGAATAAGGCAAAGAGCAGCTAACAAAAATAGGCAGGTTAGAAATTCCTTATTCTGTATCACAATTTTTCCCCTCGTTACTCAGTAATTGAACAGTAAGCAATCAGTCACAGAATGGAAGGGGCTGAAGAACAAACAGGAATGTAATTCTTGTAAAATGACAAACAAAAGGAAAAATTTTTCCCCCATATATAAACCTCTATAAACTAGTTTATGGTTTTATTATCCTAATAAACATAGCTGACTGTAAACTGTTCTTAGATACTTGCAATAGTGACTACTGCAGGGTTTACCATCTTTTCTACAGGAACTATGAGGCTTTCAAGATCTAGCATTTGGACACAATAAAATAATTTGAGTGATGACATCATGTTTATTACCCAACAGACAGTCTTAAAGATTTGATTTGAAGGTCTGACATTTCTCTTCTTACGGCTTTGTGTACCTAACATTGTCTTGAAAAATACTTTTAAAAGAAGTTCAAATTAACTTTTCTTCCTGTTGTGTGATTCAAGTAAGTTTTGGTCTGGAGCAAACTACTTTTATTTTGGAGCATTTCTCAGCTAAAATGAAGATTTTATGTCCTCCTGAAAAATCCAGGACACATTAATCAACACCTTCATAAATAACTGTAATATCTAATAGCAAAGCTCCAAGTGATCATTAAACTGAAAAAGTCCTGTCTGGTATAAACACACAATTTAACCTGGAACTCTACTACAGCGTTAAGTAAACCAGACATCAACAAAAAGGCTGCTTTCGTCTCTGTTAGCTGCAAATTTAATCTAACATTTTAGCCTTTTTAGTCTGCCCTAGTGTAACTGAGGATTCTGCTGCATAGTTAATCCTGGCCATAAAGAAAGGCTTACAGACAACAGAGGAAACTTGACTTAGCTGCAGTTGTTTCAAGAGCTGTTTCAATATACACTAAGCATCTGACTCACAATTCTGAGACTGCAGGGAGCTTCAAAATCCACAAAATCTATACACCACACATTTCAGATATAGTTTAGATAGAACTTAGCAGATTGCTTTCATGGCTGTTACAGACTGGGGCAACATCAGTATTTCTAGTCAGCTTCTCATTTTCACTGACATTTAAACAAGTTTTTCTGTTAAGAATATAGTTTAAGAGCTTCAAATACACAAGATCCATGTTAGAAAGGTGTTTAAAATTAATCAGTAGTGATTTCACGTTGAAAAACTTAGATAAAGAGGCAAAGTTAATATTTGTTAACTTACCTACTCCCAAAATTCTGCAGTTCACATTTACTGCCTCCGATGCAGCCTCTACACACATCTTTAGAATTAATTCTAGTCTATCTTCATAAGTTTTAGGGTTGAGCTGGGTATACTTCTTAACTATTTCACCCTAGAAATTAAAAACAACAAAACACACCCCATAGAAATGTACTTCATGATGACATTTCTCTTCCAATTTAAACTACAGGTCAACTTGAAAATGGAGAGTTCTCTCTCTCAAAAAAAACCACAAACCCAACAACAAACCAAAAAAACCCCAGATGCATGCCTTAGATCTTGGTCCTATGGGCTGTTCTGTGCAAGATTCCTGACAACTCTGGGGGACAAGTTTGCAAGATTAGGCATTAGATTCTTGCTTCTGTATTCAACCTATCCTGTCTGAAATAAAATACGTATTTTAAGGAACATGTGGATTGTGTAGGGAAATATCACAAGAGCTACTGGAACTATTCTTAGGAGTAAACTGTCATACAGCAATGCACTTAAGCTCTGTATTATAAAGCGTTAAAAAAGGAAGTAAGAGAGTAGCAATTGCTAAAAAGGACAGAAAACCCATAGTGCTTGAAAAATAAAATGTTTTCAGTTTGACTACATGGAAGTTTTGCATGGTGTCATAGACACTGCTATTTTACCAGCAGGAGGAGAGTCAGCCAGAGAACAACGCTAGAAATTTCAATGAAAAATTTACTATCCTTTCAGAAATAACTTTTCTGCTAAGCAATTATACTTCTGAGTCACTTGAAATATTTCTGGAGGACCATCTACTGTGACATATGTTGTATGGGGGAGGGAGGGTTCAGGAGGAAGGGATTATTTTCAACCCTAGGAGTCATGCAGTAGTAATGAAAGCATTCATTATGCATGCCTGAATCTGTGGGTACTAAGGAACTAATCTTAATGTAATGTTAGTATTGCAGGATTAGGCCAGGAACCTGCAGAAGATATGCTGCTCAGCAATGTTATGCTCCCTATTACATCCCCAGTATCTAAGTGAACAGCAGTGTATTAATACAACTAAGCAAAAAGGAGTAACAAAGACAGTCTATATGCAACATGGCTGAGTCATTGCCAAAATAATAGAAAATTCGAAGACGTCAATGGTTTGACTATTAGATCCCACCATCTCAGCACCACATCAGCAATAGGGTTTACAGATTTTTATGATGTTTCATTTCCTCTTCACTTTTGGTTTGGAGAGGGAATCATAGAATCATAGAATCGTTTAGGTTGGAAAAGACCTTTAAGATCATCCAGTCCAACCATTAACCTACACTACCAAGGCCACTCTAAACCAATCAAGGGTAGACTAGACTAAACCATGTCCCCAAGTGCCATGTCTACCCGTTTTTTGAACACTTCCAGGGATGGTGACTGCACCACCTCTCTCGGCAGTCTGTTCCAATGCTTGACCACCCTTTCCGTGAAGAAATTTTTCCTAATATCCTACCTAAACCTCCCCTGGTGCAGCTTGAGCCCATTTCCTCTCATTCTATCGCTAACTACACGGGAGAAGAGACGAACACTCACCTCACTACAACCTCCTTTCAGGTAGTTGTAGAGAGTGATAAGGTCTCCCCTCAGCCTCCTCTTCTCCAGGCTAAACAATCCCAGCTCCCTCAGCCGCTCCTCATAAGACTTGTGCTCCAGACCCTTCACCAGCTTTGTTGCCCTTCTCTGAACACGCTCCAGCACCTCAATGTCTTTCTTGTATTGAGGGGCCCAAAACTGGACACAGTATGCCAGGTGCGGCCTCACCATCGCCGAGTACAGGGGAACAATCACCTCCCTGCTCCTGCTGGTCACACTATTCCTGACACAAGCCAGGATGCTGTTGGCCTTCTTGGCCACCTGGGCACACTGCTGGCTCATGTTCAGCTGGCTGTCAACCAACACCCCCAGGTCCTTTTCCGCCAGGCAGCTTTCCGGCCACTCCTCCCCAAGCCTGTAGTATTGCATGGGGTTCTTGTGACCGAAGTGCAGGACCCAGCACTTGGCCTTGTTAAACCTCATACAGTTGGCCTCAGCCCATCAATCCAGCCTGTCCAGGTCCCTCTGCAGGGCCATCCTACCCTCGAGCAGATCGACACTCCCACCCAGCTTGGTGTCATCTGCAAACGTACTGAGGGCGCACTCAATCCCCTCATCCAGATCATCGATAAAGATATTAAACAAGGCTGGCCCCAAAACTGAGCCCTGGGGAACACCGCTCATGACTGGCTGCCAGCTGGACTTAACTCCATTAAGGGAGGGGAATGAGACAAAGTTATTTTGGAAGACAAGGCTGCGGCAAACATTATCAGAAGACACAACAGCTTTTAGAAGGAGTATTTGAAAACTCAGTTACTTTCTTCATGAAAAGAAAACTACATGTTCAACTCTGCCATTTCCTGTTAAATGCTTACATCTGTTGTAAACTTATGAAAGTCTGATCCTTTTCACTCTGACTTGCTAACATTTCAACTTTCATAAATGCCACCTCAAGCTACACTCTGCAAAACGGACAGGATTTTTTAAAATTCTTTTTTTTCCTGGCTTTGTTGACAGAAAATGTGGTGTCAATTTCACTTCTAAAAAAGTTATACTTTTAAAAGTTTTCTTTAAGACCTTAAAGATCTGCCAGACATCTCCTTTTAAATGAATGCAAAAATTCTGGACCATATCAGGCCAATTTACATAGCCCTTCATGTTCCTGCAGGCAGCTTACTTTTCTTTCTGGGTAACTATGTCTAACTGATCTTGGAATATGGAATACCTGGAAATATGCAGTGTAATGGTAGGTGTAATTGTCCAATACTGTTGAGAACAAAAGCCAAAGACTTCTGAACATTTTTGTTCACATCTTTAAAGTGCTGCAGAGTTCAGCATTTTTATGGTGTCGTCCGTCCCCCGTCCCCCCCCCCAAACAGGAAGATGGGTATCTAAATTAGTTCAAAATTCTTCAGTCCTGACTATCCTTTCATTTATCAACCTGGATCATAATTATTTCAAATATTTTTACACCATCACCAAGTAATTTTTATCCCATAAGCTTGAAGTTCACAAGTTTAAACAGAAATGTTGTGGCTTTTTCATTGATCTGGATAATGAGCTGATGGTCATGTTTATTTGTTTCACTATATGACACCTTTGCAAGTGATCTGGCACCAGACAGATACTGATGCCATTTTGGTAGCCTCACTTGCTGTTTTTTAAGACTTCAGTTTTTGTTACATTTGCCAGGTATGAACCTTCACCTTTCTAAGTTAGCTGTCAAATATTTGTAATAAGTTGCCTACAGCAGAGCTATGCAAGCAATACATACTTATTAGTGCTGATGCAGGCAAAGGAAAGCTTCCTGCCATGCCATTACCAGAGAAATGCGCTGATGAACTTCTAAGCATGGAGACCATTAAATCACATAGTATAAGTAAACCTGAACATCTCTCCATACAGCCTTTACAAGGCTGTAACTTCAAGCCTATTTCAAATTAGTTACTTTTACAGGAAGAGAGGCACTTCACACTCACAACTCACTCAATCTTTGAAGACTCTAGGAATGCTAGCATATGTATCAAATTCTACTTACTCTGGTGATGGTAGGCATCATTTAAAGCATCAAGCACCTCTCTTCATACAAGGGACACAGTCAACACAATTAAAAAAAAAAAACCAAACCAAACCAAACAAAAAACCCTGGTAAGAATTTTACAAGATCATCATACAACTCAAATCCACCACCATTTTCCAATGCAAGATCAATTATAATTCAGCTGGTTTTAAGAGACCTTTCTAAGCCAGTTCCTACTATTTCAGCAATGAAGACACTATACCCTTCCAGACTGTCTATTCCAGCCTTCTCTTGCATTGACAGCTAAGCTGCATAATACAGAAAGCTTTAAGATAATTTTCCCTTCTACTGTTTTAATACTTTACTACCTGCTCATGCACAAGTGAATCTGATTTTTCTCTTCTTGGAAGAGGCTTCTACATATCTGAAGGCTTCTCCCCCCACCCCCACCCCGCCCCCAACAATTTCCTCTTCTCTAGGCTGAACAATTCTAGTTTCTTCAACCTTTCCCTGTTTTCCATGTCTGTAATAATTATTGTTGGTTTTCTCCTTATTTTCTCTCCTATCGGTCTACAGCTCTGTGGTATGATGCACTACAGTGAACACTGTTCCACCTGAGGCTTGGTACTGTCTCACTGATTATGCTTCTATGCAGGAAGATATTGAGAATTTTTTGATTCCTGGCTATTTTCTTGGTAGAAGAGATGCAAAATTCTACATCCTGAACCCATCCACCATGAATCCTCCCTCAGTAAACTGCTTTGCTAGATGATGATTGTTGTCCAAAATGGTTCTGTGTGTCTATTACAGGGCTGTGTAAGGCAGTGGGGAACAAAAAAGACTGCCCTTGGAGCCTTTCCCTTTTTTTACTTGACATATAAAAAGCTGCAGGGTGAACCGAGTCACCTTTTACAGGAAACCAACACATCTGAAGGTTGTCCTATTCTTCGAGCTGTGTATGACTTCAGACAGAGAGGGAGCAGCTAGGACCATGCACCAGAAAATGGCCTTTGCTAGTTTAACAGCAGCCTTAGATAAGCAAGCCAGCAGGCAAATTGTATCAAGACTGTATGAGACGTGCCTCAAACGAGGGAAAAATCTACCCCTCAACAGCAAAAGCCAGTAGGAGTGCTTTGTTTTGGAGCTCTTCTGCATCATAAGCTCATATGCCCACTGTAGGAACAAAACCACAAAGCCCAATGGAGTTTGCAGAATATCTAAAAGCACAACAGAGTATTTACCTTCATACTGACAATTGCTACCCGGAGATTTGTTCCACCCAAATCCACAGCCAGAGCACTCTGTGTCTCTAGAATATGGTCAATATCTTGAGAGATATTATCTTTGACAGGAGGAAAACAGAATTTCTTTTGCAATGGCTCTTTGAGGTCAATAGATTTGAGGAACTTCAAAATCCTTGGAACAGCATTACCATCTCCATATATTTTTGAGCTATAATATGAAAAAAAAATCAATTTAATTGGAAATTACACTGTGATCTATACAGTTCTTTATATGACAGAAGGCTGTAACACTGTGTCATTACAAAATTATGATATGGCTAAAATAACAATACTGCAGCTCACACCACTCAAGTCTGTCATGGGATACGGTAGTGTCTGTAGTTTGAAGGTCACACAACTGATTGTGCAAGTTGGGCATTAGCTCCATATTGGAATATGAAACATGGAATGTAGAAAACTGGAAAGCTAATGATGCCAAAAAAAAAGAATTAAGAGTTTAATGAAAGAACCCATATAATAGAAGTCTAAAATTATGGAAAGTTTATGTATGTACTACATATCGAGGACAAGATGCACGCATCACAGATGACAGCTACATAATAAAAAAACAGTACATTTATGTCAGTTTGCAACATATACATGTGGTTTTAAAATATCATCATACGTGGTGTCAGACATTTGGTATTACAGAATTCAGTTTTGTTACTCTGTTGAGGCTCTTAAGAAATATACTTTTAATTCTTGTCCTTAATTAGACAATCTCTTTAAGTTTGTAAGAACATACATGTTAAAGAATGGAGGGTCAGTACTGTACATTTGAAGAATAATGAAAAGCGTCTTGCTATAATCCTGCAGCTCCCCTGGAAGCTTGCACTCTGGACTCACTACGTATCATGCTCTGAGGTCAATCCATCTATAAAGTACTGTGTCCTTCAGGTACAAGTCAGAAGTAGGCAGACAGGATGTTCTCCCCCATGCTGCTCCTATAGAACAAGCTCTCTTAATCATGCTACCCTAAGCTAACATACGAATTTTGGCCTCTTGCCTTTCTGTTGGATGTTCAATTACTAGTTATATCAAAACATTACTAGTAACATTTTGCTCTTCAAATACTAACCTGCATACTGGACACTGCACTATGACTCTGAATGAGACATGTGAAATGAAAACTAATTTGTAACCTCAGACTAGTGCATTAAAAGCACTCCAATCAAACATGATGAACCACCTCAGGACTAAATGCGTTTTACTCTACTGCTTTAATGTCCCCTCCAATGAAGCATGATGAGTGTACTTGCCATGGATACTGTTTACCAAACTGCAGCTGTAGAGCATGCAGAATCTTATCCTGTGTATCAGCATCACGAACATGAAGAACATTTTCACCTAGATAACAAAAGTCAACATAATAGGATAGGTCAGATCCTTAAATTACATTAGACGATAAGAACTGCTTTAGAAATGAAGAAATAATTATTTTTCTTTCCTTTGAGCAGGAAAGACTCCAGCCAGACCAACATCACTCTTCATCAGTTATGGGTGTCCCCTTGCTCCCAGTAAAGCAATGGCGACTCCTATGATACGCTGTCACGCATTACAAAACACTAGAGAGTAGAATATTACCCTTCAACAGAATTGTATTATTAAATTTAAAATGCACGAACGACAACATGGGGTAAATGGCTATTAGTATTGTATCTGCGTATCTGTGAAATTTACTTCTTGAAGTGGTAAAGAGTTCATATTTTTTAAATGATATTTTAATACATGTCAAACATCAAACTAGCTATAAAGGAAATTAGTTAGTTGCCTATTTTGCTAAATGCAATCCACTGCAAATGGAGACACATTTTAACTTGTCTATAGATAAAAGCCTCATTATGTTACGTAAAACACACAAGCAGCACTAACATGATACAGGAATAGCAAAAGCAAAGCTTTAAAGTAGGTCAAAAATTATGTCATGCTGATACTGCAAGGTGGCCTCTGTCAAGCATTCATTTGACTTCATCCTATAGAACAAAAAAACCTCAGAACCATGAGGAAATTAGTTAAGCAAACATGTACCTGTTTCTCTTCCTGTCTGACGTGTCCCCAGGTTGATGACAGGTGTACCAAACGCTCCCACCTCTCTGACACCACAACTGCTGTTACCAATCATACAACCAGCATGAGCAACTAGCTGAATGAACTGGTCAAAAGGGACATGCTTTACTGCCCGAAAATTGGGATGATGCTCAATGCCCTTCTTCCTCATCACCCGAACCATCTCTTTGCTTCCTACAGAAAAATAAGAGGTAGAATAAATGATTCAAGGTCTGTTGTTAAACTGAAAGTCCAAACATGCAAAGGAACTAAGGTTCATTGAGTCGCCAGCTCTGAGTTGGTTTTGTTCTCTTTTTATCCTCACAGTGTAAGTTGCAGAGCTGGGCATGTAAGCCCAAGTTTGATCCCAAAATCCACTGCAAAAATCCTTTCGTAGTTTTTAGTTAATTTAAGAGACACTAATATTTCTTCTACATGTCACATGGTTTCCCTTCATCTTCCTCTCCACACTGAAAAGCTGAAGTGTCCTCCAGCAATGGAGGACATGCAGCATGGGGCTGCAGCAGATGCACACCTGATGCTGCAACCATCCAGCTATTTCCATCTGGCTGGAGGTCCTGGGATAAAAGCACTCCATAAGAACCAATGTATGCTTTAAAGACAATCTGTTTTGTGTCCCTCTGTCATGAAGGTATTTTACTCACCTGCATCCACATTAGGGAATAGAACAAGTGTTCTCTTGTTGAAGGAGATGAGTGCGTCTAGTGTCAGCTCAAACATCTTTATGGAATGTTTAATATCTGTGGTTACAGGATGCTGCAGAGCAACTATATAATCTCTGGTTTTGACATCTTCACCTGTCCAAATGGAGCCCAAGAAAAGTTTTTTTATTGGCATAGAATAGGAAGAGGAAGGAAGGACATACTTTTGAAACTACCAGTGTGAAAACCTGAACAGTCAAGGCACTGAATGGGGTATGTAACATAAATTTCAATGTTACAATAAAACTCAAGGGAGTACCAGGAGAATCTAGCTTGTTATTTGCCTCTCTAAGCAAGTCTTGTATCTTTAGAGACCACTACCTAAACCCCAACAAACTGTTAACTTGCAGGCCTACATCTAAAGCTTTGCAAGACTATTCCAGAGTCAAGAGCCTGTTCTCACACCAGTGTAAATCTGGAATAACATGAAAGCCCTGAAGCTGCTCAGGTTTTCTGTCAGTTCTCTGCTCTGGTAAGACCTCATCTGGAGTACTGCATCCACCTCTGGGGCCCTCAGCACAAGAAGGACATGGACCTGCTGGAGTGGGTCCAGAAGAGGGCCACAAAAATGATCCGAGGGCTGAAGCACCTCTCCTATGAGGCCAGGCTGAGAGAGTTGGGATTGTTCAGCCTAGAGAAGAGAAGGCTGCGAGGAGACCTTATTGCCACCTTCCAGTACTTAAAGGGGGCTACAGGAAAGATGGGGAGAATCTTTTTAACAAGGCCTGTTGTGACAGGACAAGGAATAATGGATTTAAACTAAAGAAGAATAGATTTAGACTAGACATAAGAAAGAATTTTTTTACAATGAGGGTGGTGAAGCACTGGAACAGGTTGCCCAGAGAGGTGGTAGAGGCCCCATCCCTGACAACATTCAAGGTCAGACTGGATGGGGCTCTGAGCAACCTGATCTAGTTAAAGCTGTCCCTGCTCACTGCAGGGGGGTAGGGCTAGATGACCTCTAAAGGTCCCTTCCAACCCAAAGCATTCTATGATTCTGTGATTCTCCATCCTCAAGCAAAGACTTCATTCCCATTGCTTTAAAAAAGTCAGTCATACTTGTTTTAGTACATTTGGAAAAAAAAACTTTTAACTGCAAAATATTCACCTACTGATCTAAGAAGGTTCCAGCTTCCAACTACACAGGTTAATGTGCCATATGGAAGATTGCTTTGTCAAACATAAAAAGCAGACACAAACCCCCACTGTTTACAGGAATTATTTGTAAGTAAATGAATATGAAACACCAAAAGCTTTAGGCACATGTTGCCCTGTTGCAGCGCATTCCTCAAAAGAATGTTCATAGTATAAATTCCCTTTGATGCTTTTTAGATTAGCCCTGAACAGCTCTGATTCTATTTAAATACATCCTTTACACCAAAGCAGCTGTTCATATAAGACTGTTCTGTTTTTTAAATTGTTCAATTCAGAAAAATTACCCATTTAAGAAGGTATTTTTTTGATCTGGCCGAAGGACCAGATGTGTTTACTAGGACAGGTTTCTAACTTTCCAGCTATACATGGTAGAACACAGATCAAAAGAAAATGTAAAAATAAATAAATACTAGATACTATTACCCAATATCCTATCTTTCTGAGAAGCAGCAAGTTGATGCTTGATAATCATCTCCAATTAAACAAACTTAAACTTACTAGCAAGAAGTCCGTCTGTTTCTTTCCTGTACTCTTCTCAGAGGCACTGGTCAACAGATCCCAGACAGATAACCTAGTTACCAAGTTTGTCTAGTGTTGAAAGTCATATGAAAAACATAAAAAATGGACTGCTCACCTAGCCACATGCGTATAATACTCATGTAGTCCTTATTTTTGGCAGAGAGAAGCTTGTCATATGAGGGGCAGCCCGCTAAGAGGATGCGGTCATGGTCTTCACACATGGCTATCAAATGCTGCTCTGCACTCCTTGTGCAGCACACGTGGTAATGGGCCAGTTTGGTTATAGCATGCCTGATAGAGTCATCAATGGTCCCACTGACTTCCCCACCTTCAATGTGAAGAATGCGAATATTCATCAGGGCTGCAGATGTGGCCAGGGCCAAAGCATCAAATCTGTCCCCGTGAACTATCATTATGTCAGGTTTCAGGCGGTTCAGGACATCGGGTAACTTGACTAATGCAAGGCCCACTGACTCCACCATAGCTGCCTCATCCTCCCCTCTCACAATGGTGTGCAATCTTGTATGAATATCGAAGTCATCTTGTTCAATCATACGATAGGTATTACTGAAGGTAAGAGGAAAAGGGTTAGAGTAAATACAACTTGGTTTTACAGCAACATAGCTTGACAAAATAACTGCATATTAGATAGCTGTACTGGGTTTGAACAAGGGCCTGCTTATTACACCTCCTTCATTGACAAAACTAGTTTTTAACAGAATGTTCTCATCCATATGAAGATCTTCCCTCATATGCCAAGCATAAAGTTTTTCTAGACACCTTTAATGAGGAGCCTTGTTGAACATGTTCTGGAAACCCTCAGAAATCAAACTCCTTGTTCACATGTTTGCAGAGCCTTCTGGAGAATAGGTATGGCATGATTTCCTTTCAGGAAAGGTATGTTGACTCCTCACCAATATGTTGACTTTGCTGGACAAATGTATAAATACAACAGAATATGATGCAAAGCTGAGGCCTGCATGTTCAAGGAAAACATCTTGCAGCTAGCATCCATTTTTCAGATTCTGTTTTTGAGTTGTATCGAGACTTACATACTTGTAGACTTAAGAAATCACTCCACAAAGAGGCCTTAAGTTCAAAGGAAACAGGCTTTCGCACTGAAGAAAAAAGGCTTTCCCTGCATACTACAAGCTTCATTCCATAATGAGAAAGTTAAAACATTCCTGAATACTGAGAATTGCTACTGTTTACAGTTATGTATTTGAAATATGAAAGATCATACATCTGTGTAAGATTACCTGTCTTCCACATTCACTAAACCTGACCTACGTAGTCTGCACACTCTGGCTGGAATAAGAGGGAAAAATACCAGAAGTTTTCCAGTTTTGTCTTCAACACATCTGACACATTCACCGTCTTACTCAAAGGATTACACTTTTAAACTGATTTAAATCAGATTTAATTTTCATTAAATCCACTCTGCTACTCACATTCTGCAAATGAAAATCTCATGATCTGCAATCTGAGCAAAGATAGCAAAGACTAGAAAGTGCTCCAGCTCAAGTAAAGAAGCAATTTCTATTCTGCGTAACTAAAGAAAACCCTATCTATCTACTCAATTCTGCTTACTGCTGTTAACACACAGGATATATTCCTACAAGTAACTTGTCAGGTTTGTTTTTTTTTTTTAAAAGGCAAATCCTTTTTATGTGACTGAGCGAAGTGGCTCAGATTTTTATAGCGTAAACTGCATTACATTTCCAACTCCACTTACAATTGCCGTTCATAGACCTGCCTTCTTCCCTGCTATGTGCATTTATCTCAAAAAACTTTCTTCTCTTTTATTCTATATTCTTTCCCTTCTGAAAGGTCAAAATCTAGGGACCAAACAAAACTGCATTTTTGGTGGTTTGTTTCTTTTACTATCCTCCAAACGCTTCACTAAGAAACATTTCACAGAATCACTACCATTTGAAGTCTGCTACTGTTGATTACCCTACTCAAATCACTGGAACACATATGTTTTGAGGACCCACTAATTCTCTAGGATCCTGCAGATTAAGGAATGCAGGGCTAGGTCCTGAGGAAAACCCCAAGCAGTACTAGGGTTTAATAATACTTACCACAAAGCAACCAACAGCAACAACATTTGTCAGATGAAAATGTCTACTGCTTTGTGCATTACAAATCATTCACATCAGAAAGACAGGTGTTAAACACCTTGGAATTGGAAAAGCTGTATTTCATATTACTTTGCACAAGTCTTGCAGACAGCAAAGAGTTCAGAACTATACAAAAATCAGGGCCATGCCTCTCCTCTTCAGCAAACGAAATGGGATTACCTTATTTCTCCAATCAGACAGGATGCAATTCAACATACTAACCTGGCTTGCCAGAAGTTTGATTGGCATTTTTTGTTTTGTTTTTGTAAAATCAGGTTAGTTTTGTGGTGTTGAATTCACCTTGTCATGTCATGTTATTAGATGGAAATGTCCAGTACAAAGCAAGGAACAGAGCACTACACGAAGAATGGGCAGCAGTGAAACCTCCTGTCTTAGTACTTTTGAGATAATCAAACTTCCTCACACCCTAACTTAAAAAGTGCCAAAATTTATTGTTGGAAAGACCAAAAAGTGTCTTTACTTGAAGATACACATAACATTTCTGAAAGCTCAACAATGCTGATATGCTGCAAGCCTTACACTAAAGTCTGATTTTGACTTGCAAGTGTTTTCCTATCTATTTCACTTACTGGGCCCAATCTGGTAAATGCAGCCTGAGCTTGCATCCCCAACAAGAATATGTAGGACATTTCTGCTTTTTCCCCAGTAAGAGAATATTCCCCTAGGATGTGGGAAGTACTTCCAAAGGAAGGGATTTGGACCAAGACATTCCATCCTCCCAGGCAGCTGATCTGACCGCTTACTTCTTATAGGGTGTTACAAGAGGGGACCCTAATCTATTCTGCCAAACCATATCTAATATATCTATCAGTTATTCATTTTGTCAGAAAGAGACAACCACCCTTTCCTTTCTCTGCAATCCTGGAAGTAAGAACTAACAGTATTCCCCTGGGATATGGAATATATAAGCACTTTCTCCAGTAACTATGCAAAGTGGAAGAGCTGCAACTTAAAATGATTGAAGACTATCTTTCCTCTGTGAAAAATAAAAACTGTAGCACATTTTCACTTGATAATCACCAGATTCTTAGGGAAACCTGAATGAACTGAGTTTCTCACTTCATATAGTCTGTGATCCTGTTCAAGACCTCAATTACAGCATTTACACCAAACTTTTTAAAATTCCAAGACTGGCTGGAAAAAAACAGAAATATGCAATCTCAGGAGGAGCTGCAAAATGAAATAAAATCTGAAAAAAATACATTTAAGATTTTGTTGTGTACATTCACAGTGACAAGGACTTTGTTACCTGACATTCACAGTGACAAGGACTTTGTTACCTGACATTCATGTTATTGCTAACACCCCAGAAACAGATTAGCAGATACAAAAATTCACCTTACCCATAATCATCTATCAGGTGGGAACCAAGCACTACGACATCAAGTTCAAAGAACTGTGGTTCTGCCTTAATACCAAACATAATAGGAGCTAATTTTGAATAATCAGCACGGTTGCAAGTAGCAACACAAACACGAAGTTTGTGGTTGTTTCCATTTCCATTCTTCTCCATGACTTCCTTTTGTTTCTGTTTTGAAAGATTCTTGAAATACACTTCCTGAAATAATGGGGGAGGGGGAGAAGCGTTAATAATAATCTTTATAGTATGGTACACTTCATGCACAGCATAAAAAAATGCCCAGAATTGTGGACACATACTAACTCACCCACTGATAACAGACAACTGATACCTTGCAGTACATATCATTAGAAGACTTTAGAAAAGGACAGATTTATTTTTATTTTAGTTAAAACTCACTTAATTTTAATACCACCATTTCTATAAATAATATATAAAAATTCTACATAAACAATATTTAAGTATTATGAAGTTCAGCTGTAATTAAACAGTAAAATTACTTTTTCCTGTTTGGATGGAAATTTCTCTGTAAGTAGAAACAGTATTGACGCCTTAGTAAGTGAAAGAAAAAAAATCCCATATTCCAAAACCGCACAATGCAACAAACTGCTAAAAGATCCATCCACTGACAGACTCTGTGAACAAAAAGAGAAAGTTTTTGCCCAAGTCACTTTATGTTATCTGTTAAATACACTTTGGTGATGTAAAGTGAGTTAAACATTGACATGTAAACCCTTCCATAATATTTTGCAGGCCAAAGTGCATCAAGATATTCAATAATACAATATTAGGTTACAATAAGACAATAACTTTTGGAGACAAGTAGACAAATAAGGATGATGATGATCATCAAGCAATTTGGAGGCTACTGGGGGAAAAAAAAAGGATTTCTGACAATTGAAATGCAAGAGAAACCCAGTATTTTTACAAGCAACGTCAACAGTTACTGCAACAAGACGATTTCTCTAATCCAATTTTACAGCTTGTTTAGTAGCTGATTATGTCATTATTTTTAATGTTTAACCATCCTCTGTTTACCACTTTGCCTTGCTGGTTTTTTTGTGGGTGTTTTTTTTTTCATTCAGCAATTGGAAAAAACATTTTAGAGAAAAAGAAAAGCCTATTAAAAAAAGGATACAGCAATAACTCCCCCAAAATAACCCAAATTTCCTCTCCCTCCAAACAGAAACTACTAAGTTGGCAGCAGAGAGTATCAGACCAGTTATAAGTTTTTTGTTGTTCTTCCGAAAATAACTGGATTTTAAGTAAGTACCATCCTTTCGGTATGAAATCTAACATTATGTCAGATTTTTGTTGCAGTTTAATGGCAAGTAAACTTTTTCCAGATTAATGCACAAGGATTCCTCATCTCTCACTCAGATAGAGCAGTATCAATCTCTACTGGCTTTGACAGCTAGGGAAGCTCTTTCTGAGAAGCTGTTGTACAAGCATGACAACGTTGACATACAATTTCATGCTCCTTTTATATTACATTTAATTTTTTTCAGTAAGTTTTTAAAAGAAAGGCTATTGTGACATCCCACTTTTATGAAACTTAAGAAGTTCAGTAACTTTTCAAAGATTTCACTGTTTTTAACACAGATTAGTTTAGGTTTTACCACACAAAATGAAACAATGTTTTTGGTATAATAGTCATGTTAGGGTGATCAGGAATCTATCCCAAGTTGTCAAAGGTAAGAGACATTTCTAGCCTCCACTTGTAATCCACTATGGCTCTGCAAAACTGTGACTGGCCATGATGTTTCTTCTAGTTTAATTCCAACAACCATGATTCCTGAGAGAGTAGTTTACGCTAGCTTTCAGAATGAAAGTGAAGTGGCAAAATGCAAAGATGGCTGCCACGACTAAGCTCATAAGAAATGGCATTTCTCACTTACTCATGCAAAGCAGCTATGGCTACACAAACCAACTTCAGTAGAATAGACACAGTATGGAATTTCAGCATTTGATTACTATCATGACAAATTAAGCTGAGTTCTATGGATTCAGCCGTAAACTAATAGGTATTATTTGGTTTACACTGAGCCCCTTCATTTGAATTTATATTCGAACCTTACTTCAAAAGTAGTATGTTAATTAATCACTATTTTACACTTTCAAAGGGTCAGACGATAATCCTTCAGGCAGATTAATTATTTCCTACTGCTGAAAACATCTGCAGTTCTGTGCATATATGATGGCTGTTTTAATTTAATCTTGTCTTTCTTTTTGTCCAACAGGCTTGAAATATTTTAAATGTATGTAAGAAATTCAGTACCTCATGTTGAAAATGTAGAGAGAGTACTTTGCAGGATTCTAGATGCTGCATAAAGGTAGCTCAGAGAGCATGTTATCCTGTATCACTGAGTGAAACCTGACACCACACTAGCTAGATTCAGATCTAACAGAACCACTGGTTTCTCATTTCTAAAACAAGCTCTTTTTGGAGATGGTTCCCGTCGTGTATGTAAAAACAGCTACTAATTCACATAAAGTCATGTTCAAGATGTGAAGGCCACTTCTGAGATCCCTATAAGCTTGTCCTTCAAACTGCATCTTAGTATAGTTAGAAGCAAACCTCTCACAAGACTCTTCCAAGTCAGCCACTGCTGCATATGTATGCTAAACTATACAAACTGAGAAGCCAAAGGAAAAGGGTTCAGAATAAGTTAGTGACAAAAGTGAGCTTACCCAAAGTCTGCTTACTCGAAGTTACCTGCCTGAGCTAGAACCATCACTTCCCCTCTGACAAAGCAGTTATCTTTTCATTTATGCAAAGCAGGCTTTTAAGCAGAATGGTTTTCTGTCCTCCTTGATCTTCAAGCAGTCTAAAATTCTAGAACCTTTCAATCCAAATCCAGAAAATACCATCTCCTAAAATAGTAAGTCTGTAAGTTGTAAAAAAAATAAACTCTCATGGATATGTAGTACCATAATTTCAGATCTACCAGAATTCAATCGCTAGATCACACATCTTTCTGGCCACACAGATCATGTTTAATTACAGTTGCAACTGGCTGCAGTAACAGTCTCTTGAAATAATTTCAGAGGTAGATGTGGAGATACTTCAAAGGTATATGAACTAACCAGAATCAAAAGCAATTCATACTCTTTGTGCATTTCAACTTCTGTTAACATTAGGTTTCAGTAAGTCCCAAAGCAGAATTACTTTTAATACTGCCTAAAACCTCTGTAACACAATGGTTTCAAAAAGTTGCAACTAAGCCACACACAGGCTTTGGTGCAGACACAAGTTTTTCTACTGCTGTCAGTTTTAACATGGTGTTTTTCTGAAGAACCAAAATATTTACCCTAGCAAAAGGGCTGATAACAATCCCATGTAAGTGTTAACTACAGGGGAAAATTTACCACTAATTAAACGAGTGTATTGTTTTTCAGGTTAAGTTGGATGATGATTTCTAAAGAAAGGTGATGTATTTCTACAGCACAGTTTAAAAACGGACAGAATCCTGTCTTGACTCCAACCCATTCTCAGCCTGTAAAGGCAAAGAAAATCCTGTATTTTCAGTGTATTAGTATTCACTGTCAAAAAGTAATGGCAAAGTCCCTTCAACCATTAACAGTATAATGTTTATTACAGCAGAGCTGTGATGCCCTAGCTATATAAGTTTGTTGCCACTATGACTTTAGTATTAACAGGTTTTGCAAGCTAATCATCTTTTCAGAGCTGTTCACTGAAATCTTTAAAATAATTAATCACTAACAGTTGCCTCTTAGTTTCTAGGTGTTCGATGATATACTGAGTTTGATCTACACAGCTTTCTCTACTCTGGGATCCTCCTGTTCCAAGGTCTATCTTTTCCACCTTAGTACTATCTTCAGCAGATAGGAGAAAAAATAAAACAGTGCTCCGTGAAGGACTACTTGAAATAATTAATCTCTATTTGTTTTGGTGTACTGCTCTTCCATATCCCACCTGAAGGGTTTTAGACTATTAGAGGTTCAGGGACTTTCTAAGACTGGGAAATTCTGGGCCAAATTTTACAGCAACCAAGTAGCAACTATTTCTGTTAGCAGTCTCCAAGTGCATGAGACACTCCTTTATCAGTGTTCCACAAACAAATGATACCACCTGTGTATTCTACATTCACATTTCTGAAGTGATGATTTTCAAAATCAAAGAGCCTGGAATACTCCTTTTTATAATCCCTACACTCTGCATATGCCAGTGTGCTTGTGGAGTCATTCAATCTTCCCATTGGCTTTGCTATGTTGTATGCACATAGGTTATTCTGCCCAAAATTCTTCCCACACCATGTACTATCATGTACTCATGCCACCCTTCTTTACCACGGTACCATTGCTTCCACATCGCCTGTAGGTGCACACACATCCGGGACCTGCTCCTGCAGCCCTATGCAGGCGACCATATATAAAAGTCTTTCAACGACCCCCCTGAACACATCTGTGCGAGTGGAAAAACCATTCTCAGTATCACCCTGTGCACATATTACCCCATTCTGAGACGAGAAACCCTTCGCACCATTTCCCCGCAGGAACGGAATCGACCTCTTCGCTGCCCCGCCTCCTTGCGTGTACGTGGGATGCCACACCCTCCGCACCTCTTAAGTACACGGATACATTTATTACCCACGCGCAGGGTCTACCCTTCCCAACCACCTTCCTTCCACGCCTGCAAAGTACCACTCGCGGTGCGCACCCCAACATGCGCTAGCACACACCTCGGCA